CATCTGCCCGAATGACTCAAACCTAGTCCCAAGAGGTTTAAGATCTATATTAGCCGTACAATATCCATGTCTGGTGCACTTCCAATATCAGCTAACAAAAATGTTATGTTTTCTATTTCTAGGGCCACCTAAGCCTCTTTTCCTTCCCCCCAAAGTCTTTCTTATTTCATTGTCTGTTTAATATGATGATACAAGCTTAGTGTGTAAGTTTTCAGCATTCTAATTCTGTAAGAAAATAATTGAACTGACACTCAGTAACTTTTTTAAAATTTTTATTTCTATCAATACATGTGATTGGGTCCTGATAGAATGAATCCACCGGCACTGACAATACCGAGCGTTAGTCATGAAAGATTGACTGAATAAGAGGAGGTAATTTCTGTGCCTGTTCACATGCATTCTGAAAATGTGAATTCATGAAACAAAAATCAGAAGTCCTAGTCAAACGCATTCTTGGTTTTGTGGATTTAAAGCACACTTATTTTCTTCACATAAATATCCTGTCTGTTACTCCAAACTTTGACATTTTATCTGGCTGTAAGCAACTTTGAGTTGAGCATACTTTGTTCCAGAAACATTCCTTTTCTATTGGAGCCCTGTTCAGACCTTCACCTCTTCAGATGATTCAAGCATGATTATTTTGTGAGCAATCAAATTCTTCACATATTTAAATACGCTTAAATATGTAGGCTTCCGTGGTAAATTAATTAATGGTCAACTTGTAACACCCAGCTGAACTGAATCAGCATGGTTCTGGGTGTGGAAGGCCCACCTGAGGACTGTTGCCAACAGCATAAAAAGAGAACTGGAGGGGAAGAGGTTGTGCTGTCAGTTCTCCTGGAGAAGTTTATCACGTTGTCTTTCTTGATATGAACTCAGCTGTTCTCATCATTAGAGGAGATGACACTTCGGTGTCATCTTCGGTTCTCACAGTCACTGAGGATGGCTGCAGTTCTTTTCTGGGGTGCTCTGGTCCTTACTTTGAGCATCGCTTCCTGGCTCCAGGGCAGATCCCTCAGCCTGCTGGCACAGATCCTTCATCTCACTGGTGCAGACTTTCTAGCTTCCACCACTGACTTTTGGGTCTTCCCCAAAGTGCAGATCCTAGACAGAGATTTGCATGAGACATTGATGTGGGCTCTAGGCCTCCAATTGGACTTGTGGAGGACATTGCCCTGGGGCTCTAAGTCTTTAGCTGGACTCATGCAGGACACTGCTTGGGAGCCAGGCCCTCAGCTGAATTCTTTGGGTCCCTAGTGCATGGACAGATCTCCCACATTCTTTTGCATTTGACTCTTTGGGTGAATATTATAAAAGAATCCTATAGATTATGTGTGCTCTATTAAATCTTTCCCCTTGTAAATCCTGACTACAACAGCTTCTAACTAACAAAATGACTGTAAGGTGTAGTGACACTGCAAAGACATGTATAGTTATCCACTCAATCTGTGGTGTATGGGTTACACAACCCTATGTGGATACCAAAATCCATGGGTGCTCAAGTCACTTGTATAAAATAGTGTAATATTTTCATATAATGCTCTGTATATATTCACATACACTTTAAATCATTTTTAGATTACTTCTACTACCTAATACAATGTAAATACTGTATAAAAAGTTGTCATCCTGTACTTTGGGACTAATAATGAGAAATAACACATTCCATACAGGTGCAATTCTTTTCTCTGAATATTTTTGATCTGTGGTTGGTTCCACCCACAGAGGCAGAGCCTATGGATACAGAGGACTATCTTACATATTGCTACAAATAAACATTCTATTTCTACCCCAAATGTATTTGACTCAACCTAAGAAAATCATTTTAAAAAAATATTTACAATGTTGTAACACTCTATTTCTCCCTAGCCTTCCATGCAGGTAGAGTTTCTGTTCAAAAAGGAAATTTTTAAAAATTTGTAAACAGTGTCTGCACTACTTGATCTGCTCTAACTCCTGCATTGAAGTTAGAGCCTCAAAGGCAGATTGGAGACAGTTAATCTGTTATGGTGTGGGCCATGCATGTTCATACATGAATATTGTAAGAGTACATAAGGCTTCATTGCATTTCCTTATGTAAGATATGGTTCATCAGTTGACTTTCTCATTTGTTCTTTTTTACTTCTCTAGCTTCGTCTTTACTATCCCCCTCCTGGATCTGGACAAACCCAGTTCTTTGTTTCCCCATCTCCCTAGTTTATCCTATCCCTAGATTTTCTGGGCCTAGGACTTACTTCCTTATATATTTGCCTAATTTTATGACAAACAATTTTGCTAACCAGGCCTCCCCAAGTCTCCAATATAAGCACATATTATCACTTGGAGAGGCTCACATAAGCCTGTCTGTGAGAATAGTCAGATGGACTTGGGAAGAGAAAACTAGGGTAGCAACATTCCAGTGGATAATAGTGGCCACCTCACCTGGATCAGGCTCCTTCGGTAGCAGAGCAGGCCACAGGTACAGGTTCATGTCAGGGACCCTTGACCACAGGCATTTGTGTATCCTACGCATGTCCAGATATTTCCCATATCAGAATTCCTCCTTGCTCCCATATCCATAGAAAATAAACTCAATTTCAGGGTTGGCTATATATCTCATCCTGAAAATACAACAATTAATCCCCACTCTCTGCCCCAGGGGATGGAATATGTGTTCACAAAAACAAGTCAGTTATGTGAGGGTTAGCATTGCTGAATTTTTCTCTTCTGAGGCTGGGAAGCCATCCCAGAGGTAACAGTGGCCCTTGCTTGTGCTGAGGGGTTAGTCTTTAATGTTCAGAGTTTCTTACATGCTGTCCCCTGCTCTCTGCCAGCCTGTTTGGTGTCAAGGAACACAGTAGGGAGGGAGAGGAAAAATGGGTGGGGTTTAGGCAGAGCCTTCATTTTGCAAGTGTAAAAGGCAAACTTCTGGTCACCAAATCTAAATCTGCAACCAGATTGAGTCTCTGTGTTGATTTGAGCTATTGCTCAATGTTCTATGCTTTAGCATTTTAAGAAAAGTTTATTATGACAAGTCAATGACAGCACTTTTAGTAGGTCAATAAATCATGGACATATCATATCACAGAGATGACAGCTATGTAAAGCATCACAGGAAACCTGATATAATTTCAACAAAATAGCAACTAGAGCCTTTTGGCACTAACTGCAATTTTAAGTCAAGGTTTAAAAATATGTTATTATTAATATTATTAAATAGGAAATTTTCTTGGATGGGTTACTGAGAAATGAAACAATGCATTTGTTAAGTTCAAAGTTTAGTGTGAACTGGAATAAAATACTGCATGGGGAGGGGGTGCAAGTGTAATGTCTTATATTAATGTTCTGGTTATGTTTTGTAATTTGTTAATATCGGGTAGGGGAGGAAAAGAAACCTAAACCAGATGAAAAATTGGATAAAAAGATTGTCAAGAGCTTTCTTTCATGGCCTTTTTCCAAGCATATGGAAAGAGAGGAGATGTTAATTTTTTAATAAGGTTTGGGGCATGGTGGAGTAGGAATTGGAGGCTGACCCAACCTTGTTTTGTTACTTTCGTAGTGGAAACTTCAGAGCAGCTGTCAGAGCCAGGGTGACAGATGTTAGCAGTGAAGGGTGCAAAGGCAACAACTTACTCCTCCTTCTAAACTGTGAAAATCGTGCTGTGCCAATATTTTTTTCTGTTCTTTTCGCAAAGAGGGAGTGGAATGGCAGGATTAAGAAAGAATAATAAACCCTGCTATTTGGGCAGTTCTTTCCAGTTTATAAAATGCTTTCACATATTTTATCTCATGTGATCCTCAAATCAACTTTCTACAATAAGCAGACAAGGCTTTTTCTGTAATTCTGCTTGCATTGAGAAGACAGAGGCTCAGAGAGGCGAGGTTGCCCCCAATTGAGATAACTGCCCCTGGTGTAAATAGGACAGCAACAGAATCTCAATGATCAAGCCAAAGTTTTTCCTAGTTTCTGCCAGTTTTCCTCTATTTTAGATTTCTTCCACCTTACCTTTATCCCCATTATTAGCAAACTACAAAACATTGCCAGAATATCAATATAAGTAGCCACATTTGCAAACCCTTCCCTACTTAGTCCTTTATTTTGTCTCTCCCAAAACTTTGCAATGAATTGTTTCATTTTTCAGTGTTCTACCCCTGACTCTCTGTTCATCTCATGTTTCTTTTAAACTCTGGACACCAGAATTCAGTGATTTGGTAGCCTGATGCTGTGGTTCCATGACCCTCCTGTTCTTTCTTCCTGATCCTGGCCTTGGGCTGGTTCCTTTCCTCTGGGTTTGGACAACAAAAGAGGGTATTTCACCAAGGAGGGCTTGGTGTTCAAAGCAGAACTTGGCAGAAACAGAGAAACTATTGCCTGCCCCTGTACTCTGGGGAGAGATATTAATAAAGTGTCCAAGAGGAGCTGTCCATCCAAAATTGCTCTAATATTTGCCAAGTTAAATTGGGCTCTTGTATTCTATGACTTTTGAGCAGAGATGAAGGAGGAAGTACAACTAAAATATATCTAGCATATCAATACACAGGTGGACAAATGCCCAATAATCAAAGTAAAATAAGTCAAGCTATTATTCCTCCCAATTTATTTACTCCTCCAGGCTACTCTTTGAGAGTTTTTTATCCTCCAAAATTTCTTTGGCAAATCATTTCACATAGTAATATAAATCTATGTAAATGCACGTCAGCCCAGTGCCTTTATTCCTCCCTCAGCCTCCCGCTGTCAGTGAAGCCCAGGGCTCTCTGTTCTCAGACTCAGTAGACTCCTAAGTACAGCAAGAGTATCTTTTACGTTGATTTGCTTTTGCAAGCCCAGCTTGGGAAACAACCTGAAATGGATCAGCATGCAACTGTCAACAGGAGAGCCTGCCAAATTTGCGCCTGAATGGAAATAAACCCAAGCTGGCAGAGATGGGGAGACCGTGGCCTTGTGATTTCGTCATCGCATGATCCTCCCAGGAGCTCTATAAAGTAGCTAGCTCTTGGGGAGGACTGAAGAAGAGACCAAAGGAAAAGATTCAGGATAAGAAGGAGCTGGACACCAACAAGATACAAGTGGTTTAAAAATAAATAAAGCTGGGCACCCATCTGACACCAAGACGGTCAGCTCTGGGGGTGGGAGGTGGCTGCAGAACACCCAGACTCGAGTGCTTGCCCAGGTTCATCTCGGCTGCATGTCTCATTCTACCCTTTCTCTTTATGCAGATCTGTGAAAAGGAAATGGAACTATTCACTTCACAGGACAGCTGCTGATGTCCTAGGATTGGAAGGTGATACACAGAACGGTACGTAAAGAAAAAACCTTTGAAGCCACCAGATAAAGGTGCCTTTGTCTTTGGTTAAGTTACATAAGCAGTCCCAGTTCAGCCCTCTCAAAAGCTGACAATCATACTATCTTCATGAAAACAGGGACATACATTAAACATAATCATGAGTTCAAAAGAATTTAGCCTAATGCCTGGCTTAAAGTAAGTCCTCAATGAATAGTTACAAGAAGTGACAGATATATAGATTGATACAGATAGATATACACACATATCTATATTGTTTGTTTGTCCAGAGACTCATACATGAAAGTTTGAAATAATATAAAATATTCCCTTATCTTATAATTAACTATAACAATATGTTTTATATTTATTGGAAGTCCAATATGAGCTCAAGTATTTTAGCTTTTCAGAATGTCCAATAGTTTTGATGTCAGTTAATCTGAGCCTATAGTATATATAATTATTAGTACTAGTTTTTTAATCTAATAGTATTGAACAGTCCACACCCTCACTACAGAGTTTTGATAGTAAAATGTACTTCCCTCCTTGACTTTGGATTTGGTTGTGTGATTGCTTTGCCCTCTTGGAGTTTGCAAGAACAGCTGGAAATGTGTTTGTACAGTGGATTCACCCTTGGGTACCTGCTGTCACGGTAGGAATACATTCTTGGAGCTGCAGGTCACAGAATGACCAGAAACATGAGGGACAAAACATCCATAAGTGAATAAGAAAAAAACTGCCTATTCTTATATGCCACTAGGTGTTTGGATGTTTTGTTTTGTTTTTGTTTTTTAATACACTATTATGGTGGCAATGGTTGACTGATTTAAAAAATAAAGGAAGCAGACACACAAACAGCAACAGAAACCATTAAGTTATCTTTAAAGATTTTAAGGAAAACTCCCTGACTTCTCAGATATATCTACCTGGAACGTCTGTGCTTAGTGACAGAGAAGCCACAGAAGGGAGAGGATTCTCTGCAATCTCCCAACTCAGGGGATGAGGAAGCCAGAGTTGTTTTCTGATGATTCTGCCACAGCCTTGGGCCCGTGTCCACCAGGCAGCTTGCAGATCTTGTCTCTACTTAAAGTCAGGTCAGCGGAAAGTGTAAGGCCATGGAATCTGCAGAATCAGGAGGTCTGAAAAGCAGGATAATGTTATAATGTTACTGAAAAGTATCTATGAATAAAAAAAAATATTCTAGAAGCAGAAAGCAGATCTTCATGAAATATGCACTCCTTAGAGAAATTTTAACATCTTGGACTTGCCCAAGCTGTGCTGGGGAAGTGAAAACTTGTGAGGAGCAAAACACGGGGAAATTTTTATTTGCAGCCATAAGTTATCCCAGATGGCTGGAGAGTGATTTCTTATAGGATGGATAAGAAGTTGAATTAGCTCGACTGTTTTCTGAAAGGAGAGAGAAAAAAGAGATGGGCGAGCCTGATTTCTATGTCCTAACTGGGCCTGAGGTAGGGATAGCAGCAAATCATCTCAAGTCAGAAAAGCCATAGGTGGTTGAAAAATTATGGCAAGAGTTACAGTGGAATAAAGCAATAGGATGAAAGAAGAAGCAAAAATGGGAAAATAAGATAAGTGATTACCAGCCAATAGGAAATGTATGGTAATAAATACCAAAGGTGCCGGAGAGTGAGGAGAGGAAGTTGGTGGCAGAAAGATCAGTCGGAGACTAGGAGGCTGTATACAGGCACGGTATACAATTTCAGGTAGAGGAGAGCCCTAACTATTACAGGGCAAAATCAAAATAATGTAAAAAAAAGAAGTGACAAGCAAGGGTGGAGAATGAGCACAAGAGAAATTGCATAAGAGGTAAAAATAAATAAGACTTTTTAAGTACATAAAGAACAAGGGGTCAGAGAAATGGCAAAGAAAATTTATTGCTAAAAGAAGCCAAAAAAAAATTAAATGAATTCTCTGCCTGAGTGTTCACAGAGGACAGGAGCAGAGGGGGAAGGTGCAGGATGCCAGAAACAGGTGTAATTTTCCGGAAGGAGGAAGGAGAAATGCTTAAGGAAATCAAAATCAATAGTAGAATGAGCTATCAAGAAACTGCAGCATTTCCAGTTCTCAGAAGACTCCAAGGGCTTAATGACACTCAGCCCTTAACCTAAAGGAGTATGGTAGAAGGGATTTTAGGAACCTACTCACAGAGCTTTTGCAAAACTAGAAAGAGAAAAGTAGCCTCATCGCTGCAGAAGTAACATGATAGCAATTGGAGTTGATGCATGATCCACCCTTGGGTTGCCATGTTATGAGACCTCAATGTAGTGGGGAGGTAACACCCAGCTCGTTCCTCACAACTGGCATTTTCTCTTTGACAAGTGGCTGTCAGTAAGGGCTGTGTGTCAGTAATAAAATGCCTGGTATTTGTACACCTGCAAAGGGCATTTGTTCTCTTCCTGGCCTTTAGCTATGGCTCCAATGTGGCTAAATGCTCATGATACCTTTTGACCCTCAAGCTCTAAGAGGCCTTCTCTGACCTCTTCCAGGAAAGAAAAATCACCAAGACCAGAGCAGGTGGGGGTGGGGGGTGAGGTTCTCTGGGAGAACCAAACTCTGTGGCTGGAGTTTATACAGTAAATTCACTCATTCACATCATATTTTCTCTCTTCTGTCTCCTTGTGTCTCATTGTTAAAATTATTCCTTTAATTTCACTGTAGTATAGACACCTTTGCATGTTGCTTTAGATGCCTTTTGAAAACTGCTGAGAAAGGAAGAAGACTGGGAGAAAGGAAAAAGACTAGGAGGATGCAGAGAACAAAGAAAGAGGCAGAGAGCTGATAGAAAAGGATGAGAGAAATCGTGAGTTAATTTCTCAAGGAGACTAGAGAGCCAAGAGAAGAGCAAGCACACTGGTCTCAGTGAGCAAGAAAATGAGTTGAAAACAGGAGGGAAATTCAAGAATGCAGGAAAATATTTAAGGCATAATCCAAAGAGGTAAGAAATGAATAAAGTGTTTGGAATACAGAACAAAAAGTGGAGAGCAGTCTGGGGAAGGGAGAAAAAATATGTTGGGAAGATCTATGGTGGTTAAGAATTAAAGATTGAAAATAAAAACTAGAATGAAAGAAGAAAATCATTACAACATCTATGCTTGGCTTTTGAAGAGGGTCCTAGGAGATAAGAATCTTAACTGGTAAGAAGGAAGTGAGATGGTATGAAATCAGGAAAGCAAGAAAAAAGGGAGACATTTATGGATAATACATAAAGCTTTTAACATCCTTGCTCCTGACTTTTTAGTGAATTTGGCCATGGCATTGAGCCTATAAATATCAAAAGCAGTTTTCTGGGGGAGAATACGCATACACACACACACACACACACACACACACACACACTTACTTTCTATCAAAATAAATCAATTTAGATTTCTTTGGGGAAGTAAAGAAGGATGGCTGCCATAGTGTGGATGTGGAGTGGCCCTCATGGAAAGAGGTGGACGATAAGGAGAGTTCTTCCACTTATCTGGGGCCTGCCCTCACAGGAGAGAAGAAGGTCTAGTTGCTTTTTCTCCTTCTTGTACCTGGCAATGAGTCAAATAGGCCTCTCCTACTATGATGAACTGTTTCACCACAGACCCAAAAGCAACAGGACCAACTAACCATGGACTGAATCTTTCAAACCCATAAGCCAAAATAACTTTCCTGTTTCTAAGTTGAGTATATCAAGTATTTGTTAAAGTAACAAAAAGCTGACTACCACGACAGTTAACCTATGAAATTTCCTAGTGGAAGATACAAGCTATTTTAATATTCTAATTCTTTGACATCATAAAACTTAACAGCCAAAAGCACAAATTTTAAACAAGAATTATAGTTCCATACAACATAAATGAGAATGGTTTTAAAAGATGTTGTATTTATTAACTTGATTAAAAATTCTTAGGCAAATCTAGCCAGTTCACTAATAAAGAAAATAGTTCATAGTTCCTTAAAAAGTCAGTCATTTGACTACACAAAATTTTAGGGTCATCAGTAAGAGAAAATATGTTTACTTTTGTCATTTTCCCCTTAGACAATACCACTGCACAAAATATGTCAGAATGATATATATCTTTCTGTTGAGTAAATCAATGAATAGCTATAAACTTATGTTTTCCCTTTTCTCCAAGTCCTTTTACTCATTGCATGCTTCTCATCTAGAAATATCTGTACACACTACTTTACTTCTAAATATTCAAAGTGAAGCAAAGACAAGAAGCTCTTCACACTTATTTTTTTCCACTGTTGGGGATTGAACTCAAAGCCTTGCACTTGTGAGGCAAGCACTGCTCCACTGAACTACACCTCCAGCCCTTTTGTTCCTATTTCGAGTTAGGAAAATGAAGTCCAGGAATAAGTAACCTAGTAAGATCAGTATCAACTAAGTTAGAATAAGAAAAGGGGTTGCCTCATAATCTGCTGTAAAGAGTTGGCTTACCCTCACATATAAAAATAATTTTAAATTCCAATAGCAACTCTGGGATGTCCTCCTTCCTCTGTAGCCTTGTCCTTGCCCCAGCCCACATTCCCACACTTGTCAGGGTGTGATTAATGCATGATGACATTCAGCAATCGTCGGCTCACTTTTTCGATGGCTAAATTTGTAAAATCTTGATTCATTAATCAGCAATCTTAATCTCCCAGTGACAGCGACCTCCTCCTTTTGAAAAATCAGGATTTCTACAATGTTCTCTCTGGTTAGCTATTATCACTGCTGAATGGACTGCCCTCTTGAGTTTGGACAAGGGTCTCAAATTCCACCCAGTCTGCACCCAGGATGCGTCACCCTTTTGGATTGTCTACTTGGTCCTTGGAGACTTTTGAGTTTTCAATGTTTGAGCCAAAAAAACCTTTAGGACCTCTAAGCACATTTCACAGTCTCTAGGGTCATGATTATGCTCTTGTTACCTACAAAGGTTGAGAGAAGCCGTGACCCCATGCAAAATGCTCAGTATACATGTACAGAGAATATCCCAGAACAATCCGGAAGTCCCTAAATGGCCCCTGCCTCCTTT